GACGAAGCCTTCGAGGCCGTCGTCCAGATCGTACGCTCTGAGCACGGCGACGATGTAGCCGATGCTGACATCCTCTCGGACGAATACAGTCGATTCGTCGGAATCGAGGAACACCGGCGAGTGACGGTTTGAAGCAATCGGAGACACTTCAGGCATGATCACCTTACCTCCGGCGTTCTTGAGACCCTTCGACAGAGAAATCTTGAAAAAGGAAAATGGGACGACGACCGAAGTTTCGCGCCTGAATGGCAGTCCATCGTCGCTGCAGCGAATCAACACGTTGAACGTACGGTCACACATCGCCTTTGGCACCTGTCGGCGTAGGTACAACTTTCCAGATACCTCGTGCAAGAAAAAATAGTCTTCGTAATCGGTGGCGGTAGACAACGAGAACATTAGTTTGCCATTGCGACCGCTATCTGCATCGCTGGCATGAAACGAACACAACACCGTGTCAATTGGTGTTTCTGGGGTCACGACGGTCTGCAGACATTGAACGGGTCGTTCGATGATCGGAAAATTGTCGTTCTCGTTCATCACCTGTACAGTCACCCTCAGCAGGAAAGAGCGATTGCAGTCGGACACATCAAATGACACGTCGAAATCGTAGTGCGTTTCAGTTTCGTAATCTAGGCGACCACTGACATAAATAATTCCGGTGTTTTCATTCACGCTGAATGGCAAGCGCTGCTGTAAGCTAGAACTATGATCGACGATGCGCAACCGGACGTTTGAAGCCACCTCGATTATCAGTGACTCGAGAAGACGGCCGACCTCGGCTCCGACCGGCAGTGCCTCGCTGGCATTGAACAGCTTTGGGCCGTTGTTAAAAGAAAAAACGCTGCAAGATGGGGCCACACGAACCGAAACGGTGCTGGCGTTTTTTCTAACCACTGCACCATCATCACAGACCATATCAACGAACAGTTCATGTACGGACGAAACCGCAAGCCTCAGGTCGTTCAGCAGTACGTCGAACACAGCACCAGACTGATGATCTGAGGAACGAGCTACAACAAAGCGATTGTGCTGCGCCTGCTCGCCAGCTAAATGCAGTTGGCATCGGCGTAAGGCGACGTCTGATCTATCATCAGAGGACAATTTACACTTGGCACACAATCGCCTGTTGCTGGTGCAGCCATCGTCGACCGCGGTGCACTTCAGGTGCAGTTGAACCTCTTTTGGCTGTACCACGATTGTCACCGATGTGATACTGGGAGTCGGCGATATTCTAGACGAAGGAAACAACAACCAGGCACGGTCCGCCGCTGCTACAGTGAAAGTCAAATTACGCTTTGCCAACGACTGCAACGAGTGGATGACCGATAACACGCCGGTCTTTGGGTGAATAGCGAAAAAATTGCTTTGGTTCAACAGATAGTAGTAAACCTCGCCGTTCAGGCCGGAATCAGGGTCCGGTGCGTGAATCCGTAACACTGGACTGTTGATCGGAATGTTCGCAAACACCGTCGCGCTATAACTCGGAGGAAGGATTGGATTCGAGTCGTTCTCGTCTTCCAACTAAAAACAAGACAGTCAGTACTACTCGAATAAGTAACGGCAGACAAATTTACTCGATTTTCTGTAAAGACAAATTTCACAAATGTCCTAACACAGACCCTAGTGTGTACTCCTTGTGGTAATTAGTGGGTGCGAAACATGGACCCCAAGCCTTAAAGCTACTTATAAAGACTACGTAAAACGGCATGGAAGAATGTCTGCTGAAATAACAAAAAAATCGAAGATACTACAAAATAAAAACAAAAGATACCAAGACGAATGAATAGGTCAGAGCACAAGTAAGAATCAACCATATCATTGCCTGAGTGAAGAAGTTAAGGTGTCAATGAGCTACACACGGTGCAAGAAAAACCGACCGTCGCAGGACCAGAGAGACATCAGACTGGGTTCCACCAGAAAGTAAATCAGACATCCAGATCGATGGCAGGATGAGCTGAAGAAGTTCGCTGGATCAGGATGGGTAAAAATGGCGAGAGAAATACATGCTTAAGGAAACATCTTGGAGAAGCCTTCATCCAGTAACAGATCGATAAAGATTGCTGCCGAATATCACAATACAAGCTGGAATGGAGACATCGGTTTCTAGCAGTTTAAGCTCAAACGATTGATACAGACAATTATTTTCATTCTGCCAAAAATTATCAATATATACTAGAATTAGATCATTTTGTGCATTCGCCTCCTTGTTTAACTAAATATTTATAATACTAAGTCTTGCTGCATTCTTATGTCCATTTTGTGACCGAACTGTTTAAGCCACTTCTCAGCGCCATCATTTTTCGATCAATAGCTGGATGAAGGCCTCCCCACTACTTTATCATAAATTTCTGTTTTCTGCTCTTCTTATACATATGAATCGGCGAACTCCTTCAGCTCATCCTGCTATTAATCTTGAGATCTTCCTATCGACAGTTTACTCTATGTAACGCTGTGTTTCTCGCCCAGCAACTGTCGGTTGTTCTTGTAACTTGCCTTGACCCAATGCCACTTATACTTCTTCAATCATGCAGTGACATCCCTGCTCCTATTCGTTCATCGGTCTTCCTATTTCTTTTTGTTATTCCCAACATCTTTTGATGTTCCCATGCATAGTCTGCAGTTTCTGAATACTTGTCAGGTGAAAGGTCCAACTTTGTATCCATAAGCTAGCACACACTCATCGAACATTGTTTCAAGCAAAAAGGCAGTTTCCAGGATAAAAACATTGTCAGACTTCCATAACAGCTCCTTGTCATGTCTATTCTTCTGTTTATTCAACACAGTCCGTTCTCCGTTGCAAGCTGTTCCGGTCGAACGTAGTGTTATATCGGTTCAAGCCTAAATCTCGGACCTCAACGCGTCACATGATCGCGTATTTGTCAAATATAACCTGATTCTTCTCTGACTGATCCGGCTTCATTTTCAGACTTGTTTCAATGTCGGCATTGTTTAGCTCTTGGATTCTTCGTTGGAGTTCTTATGACAACATTCAGAGAATCAAAATTTCGTTCGCAAAGGGCAGGTGTTTAAATATTGCCCATTTGCGTTCAGCTATTTTTCCAACGGTGTATCTTCAAAGGCTCTTCTTGGGCTGCTGTGAATAACTTCAGCGATCTGAGATCGTCCTGTCTAACACATATTTCGCTTTTGAACTTGCTGCTTGCCTGAAACTTTACACTAGCAGTTGGGTTCTTGCAAATCTCTGCGATCATGTTTATGCACCTCTTCTCGATTCAGTGGATCCTCAAGGAATCCAGTAGAGAACGGATGTACGCTAAATCGAAGACCCTCTCTAAATGGAGGAACATCGGGCAGAGAGGAAGCCGATATTCGTTGCTGGTATGAACCATTTGTTGTAAACCTAGAGGTAATCCATCGTAATACATTCGCTTGTCCTGCTTGCTCCTTAGATTGTGCAGTGTCCAAATTTTCTGAAGGTCGGTCTGTCAGAGTCTTCATGCAGATCATGTAGATATTTGGTAACTGATCAGCCTGTGGTATATAATCATCTCTGTCTTCCTTTGTGGGGTAGAATCACTGTGGTGTTCCAATCCAATCGTCTGGAACTCTTAGTTCCGTTAGACAGCTGTAAAACAAGCGCGTTATTATATTGCTGAACGCTTTACCTCCTATTTTATTTGTCCAGTTACAATGTAATGCCATCTCTGCCGGGAGCAACAGGCTGGATGCAGCTGTTATCAATTTCATTTTGTCATTTTTCGCAAGAACATGTGCGCTTTACTGAACAGATTTGAAATGGTGCTGAGGAAGAAGAAGCGATGGTACTCATTCAACACGGTAAAATTCTCTGAACGAAGTTGCAAGAACGCTCATAAGGCAAATCAAAACCATAAGAGTCTAAATGTGTAAAGCATTCAACAAAGATTCTTTTTAAAATACCGCATGTGGAATCTGTTGTTTAGGCGAACGGATCGATGCCCGGGACATGAGTAAAGAGGCATCAAAGGTAAATTCTGCAAAAGTGACTTTTCTTGCTGTGCTACGCGATTAACAGCGAACAAGCACAGCGCGCCAGATGCTCAGATATAGTTAACTGCAGCATTTTATGCCAGGATATCTAACCCGTAAAACGTAAAACTTGCCCATTGGCGAAGTAATGGGACTATTACAAAACCTCTTGAAATAGTTATACTCGCCTCATAACGAAATGGAAAAGTAGACTATAAAGGGGAATGAACGCATGGACCAACGAATGAATCAGCAAATAAACAGAATTAATGAAGGACAAAAGCAGACAATAAATAAATAACTGAAGAAATGAGTAGATGATCAGAATGAATGATGAATCAATGAAGTTGCAAATGAATGACGGAGCGAATCAGTGAAACGGTGACTAGGTAAGGAAGAGAGGGAAGTAGGAACTGAATAAAAGAAATGCCGCAAGAATGAACGACTGGGCGAACAAGTTCATGAATGAAAAAGAAGGAAGGACGGAAAGTGGGGGATGGGGAGAGAGAGAGGAGTGGAAGAAACAAACGAATAAGAGTGAATGAATGCATGTATGAACATATCTGCAAGAAGGTGCTGTTCCATAAGTTGCAACATCAGCTGGACCAAACGCTCTGATTTTGGAACGTAGGGGTTATTAATGGTAACGTTTAAGTGTTGAACATACATACATACACACATAGATACATAAATGCGCCTACATTACATCCTCAGTTCTAACATCAGTTTCATTAGGCATACCTTCAAGATAACTTTCGCCGTGGCTAACTTCGTGGCACCTTTGTTCTTCCAGGTGGCAACAATGCTCAATGTGTATTCATCC